AGAAAAATAAGGGACGGATGGCCATACAGTTGACTATCGATGCAGTAGTACACATGATAACTGAATCCCCACGCTGAGTTGAGATCATTAACCGGGCATGGTTCTCGCCTGCAGGGCTTGGCCCATCCCTCAAACTTACGATCCTTCTTGGGGGAGAGGAAATATGGAGATAGCAATAGTAGCCTTCGCAGCGTCTTTCGAATTACTGTAAGTGGTACATTAACATGTTGGGTAAAGCATATAATCGGAGAAGTTTGCGTTAGGGTTGGGGTTAGGCTTAGGGAATAGGATCTGCGTCCCCCCGACCAGCTCTATTTCCTCATAAACGTATTTATCGCGCCAAGGCGGTCAGATAGCAACAGTCGTAGTTCGGGCAGAGAGAGCGAGAGAGAACACTCACCCTCGGCTTTTTCTTCGAGACCCGTGCCCCTTCGAGTCCATCGCCACGTCCCCGTGCTCCCCGTTCTGCTTGGCCTTGGCGATCTTCTGGAAGTACTTCTGCGCGTGGGTCCGGATCTGCACCACCGTCCTCGTCTTGATGAGCGACGCGATCTTCTTCCACCCCTTGCCGTGAAGCTCCAGCCCCCGCAGGAAAAGCCTGTGCTCGTCATACGTCCACCGCCCCGTGTTCTAACGTTGCCGTCGAGGTGGGCAAGCCAGCGGGCCCGGGGGGGGGGGGGGGGATGGTGCTCGAGGGTCATGCATGGCGGCCGTCCAGCGAGAGCAGCTGTACAGGTGAATTTTCAGTACATCCTCGTCGATGGCTTTTGTTGCTGTTCACATGGCGGTTTCCATGCAAGCTAGAGGAGCCCTCTGTTGTTTCAGCCGTGCGGCAGGTTACCATGGGTGACAAAAACATCCATCAGTGTAGACCTAGGTCATGCTACGGGGTTCTCCTTTGAGTGGGAATTTTCTGACGCGGCTCAGAACGCGAACAAAAGTCGTGAGCAAGATGAAGGCTTGTAGAAGTATCAGATCATGCACCACCTATCGTGACAGCAGTATCTCCTGGCGGTTTCTCTCAACACAGCGCCATCAACGGCGATGTGGTATCTCACCTTCAGCATCTTTGTCATCGATGTTTCTAGCCAGCGTCCTACCATGCCATCTTCCAGACGAAGGCAGTGGCATTTATTCCAACAAAAATAACGACAGCAACAGCGACAGCAACAACAACAACATGAACAACAATGAACACAACTCGGGCCACGTGAAAACCAGAACAGAAAAACCTGCCGCTCCTGTCGAAGCACCCGACGAGGCGCGCCTTAGCAGGCGGTGCTCTGAAACAGCTCAACAACATCGAACAAGTCCCCGCCTCACCTCCTTGACGGGCCCACCCTCTTCTCCGTCCGCTCCGCCGCCGCCGCCACCCGCCGCCCCCCCCACCACGGCTCCCGCCGAGCCCTGTCCCACGGCACCCGCCCGCACATACCCCGGCGGGGGGTGCTGGTGGTGGCGATGTGCCGCCGCCGCTGCTGCGGCAGCTGCGGCAGCGCCTCCCGGAGCCGTCGCCGTCACGTGTGGACCCCCCCCCGTGGCGACCGGTCGCCCCGCTTGCGCCGGTACGGCCGCCGGCGCCGGCGCCACCGCGGTAGCCAGCGGGACGCTTCTCGCCGCCGTCGGCGCTGCAGGCGCCGACCCTGCCATGCCGGCAGATGGTGCCGTTCCAGGACACAGGGCGGCGATAGCAGACGGGGCCGCCAATCGATGCAATCCGGGTGTTCCCGCCACCGATAAAGCCGTCGTCGCTGGCACTCCTCTTGCTTGGGCGATCAAACCTTGGGGCGCGGAGGAAACGGCATGCGTGTGCTGCTGGGTTTGCAGCGGCACTTGCGGGACTTGCCCCGGTCTTGGAGGTGGTACCCCTCTTGCAAGAGCCGGGATCGGTGCGCCTGCCGGCGCCACCGGCGCCGCTGCTGCCGCCGGTTGCGGTGCTGTTGCTGGGGCAGGACGGGCGCACGCCAGGTGGGCCGCCGCTAGCTGCTGCTGCTGCTGCTGCTGCTGTTGCGTCGCCACCGATGGCTGCTGCGGCCTCGCAGTCCCAACGACGCTCCTGGCGGCGTTAGCAGCGGCGACGGCCATGCTCGCGACCATGGTCGCGGCGGCGGTGCCCGCTGGCGAGATGAACGACGACGCCACCGTCGCCGGCTGGCCTCTCGGTAGGGCAGCGGCGCCAGCGACCGGAGCGCCGCCGCCGCCCACGACGATCGCGCCGGCGTTGGCGGCGTGAGCGGCGTGCGCGGCCAGGTACTGCTGGAGCTGCAGCGCGGCGGTCGCCTGCGGGGTAGGGGCGACGGCGATAGGTCGCGGCTGCTGCTGTTGCTGGGTGGTACCATTTGAACAAGTGGGCAGCGTCGCCGCCGCCGCCGCCGCCGCCGCCGTCGGCATCCCACCGCCGCCGCTCGCGACCGGCTCTGATTTCACCAGCATTCCACCGAGGACTGCTGCAGCAGGGGCGGGTTGAGTCGCCACGGTCAAGCCCCCGACCGCACTGGCCGTTGGTGCCGGTGCCTGTGATGGCTGGGCGTAGGTAGTCGCGGTGGCAACGGGAGTGGCCACGGCGACAGGCGCGGGCGCCTGCGACAGAGGTGTTCGTGTTGCTGACAGCGGGGCTGTGACTGCCGGCGCTGGCGGTGGTGCTGGTGGTGCTGGTTGCAGCTCTTCCTTTACCGTGCTGGCGCCGGCACCGACGACAACTCTGCCATTCTGCCCACCACCAGCCCCCCCTGCTGTTGTCGCTACCGATGCTGTTGTCGGCGTTGACAGCAGTGTTGCTGCCGTTGTACAAGGTGCCACTGTTGTCAACGGCGGTGGTGCCACTGTAGCTGCCGCCGCCGATATCGTGGCCGCGACACCGGTTGTTCCCGGAAGTGCTACTGCAGGAGCAGCAGCAGCAGAGGGTGCAGCAGCTACTCCGAGAAGAGCCACGGGGGGCGCGGCCGACGACGTCGATGGCCCTCCCACGTCAATGGCTGCTGACCCACCGCCGTCTCCCGCCGGAAACGTTGCCGCCGTCGCCGCCGCCGCCCGTGGCATGGAGCTGGTTCGTCCCGACACCGCACCCGCCACTGCCCCCACCGCTTCGGCTGCGGTGGCCGCCGTCTTTAAGAGGCCCGCCGTGCTCGGTACATATAGTAGGTGAAATAAGCCTGCGCAATGTAACGTAACGTACGTAACGTAACCGACGCCCGGCAGGACGGATGGTCGAAGTCTCTGCTTTGTTTTCCTTGTTTCTCTCAAACATCGTACAAGAGTCAGGCCAGAAAGATGAGGAGAGGCGGCAAATGTTTTGTTTGCCGGTCCACCCTTTCGACACCAAATAAATGTATGGGGAGGATCATATGCGTACCCACGAATGAGTAGAGGCGCGCACAAAAAAGATAAATGGTTCCGAAAATGCCGTGCAGAGTGCAGAGACGTCGATGACTACTTCTTGTCTGTATTTCCGGGCGCAAGAGAGTAAAACAAGCGGCTGGCTACTCTGCTGTCCAGTCTTGCCGTACTGCCAGTGTACGTGTGCGGCCTGCACCGCGTAGTGCTGTAGGGAGTTCGCGAGAGGTCCTGAAGACGCAATATGCCGTGCGGCTTCGTAGCATAGTGTGGCACAAGCACGGACCCAGCGATACAAAAGCAGTACATATCGTCGGTGAATGGGAGGGCGCACATTAGAAATCATGTTTTATGCAAACCACAGCGGTAGCCTGGAACGACGCGAAATGCAACCTGTACACGGGCTGGGCGCCAGCCCGACTCTGGTGCGCATGTTCCGCTCATGTTTCTCGACCCGAATTCATCGAAAAAGAACAGAGTTGTATAAATAGCGCTGTTGCGGCGCACACATCCCACAACTTGTTTCCATTTTGCCGCAGGAAACGTGCTGTGGGTTCATGAGCAACAGAGATTCGTGCGGTCGGAGCGGCTAGGCACGTCAACAGTCGCTGCAGGCCCGTCAAGAAACAACCAAATCGACCACCTAGCGCGCTACAATACTGTGTAGTAGTAGATTGAACCGAGCATCATGCAAAAAAACCTCGTTTTGTTGCAACGTGTCCCTTGTGTTGGCATATTCTTATGCATAGTCTAGTCTATGCATGTACGAGCATGTCCCACGCCTGCTGCACAGGGCTGTTTGTTTGGTTGCAGCGGGCCGTTCTATCTTAGTGCCGGCCGTTGTTTCGCTTTCGTTCGGCTGCGTTCCTGTAGTGTAGAAGGGCATCTATCGTCGCTGCGGCTCTATGGCCCACCAGAGTATCCACGGCACAGCGTTTGGGACCTGGCTGCTGCGTCGTTGAACTGCTTGTCGAATAGCCCGTGTGCTGGTGATGTTGGGTGTGGGGGTCAAAAATTATCGTAGATGCGACGACCGCTTTTTTTTCTTGGTCGTGCCTTCCTGCTGCCTAGCACTCCATCTTACGAGCGCACGCTGCCATACGGGCACAGTCGTGAGGATCAGCAAACAGCCAGTGCCCGCACGCACAGAGAACAGGTCTTAAGATCGCACAAATCTAGTTGTTCGGCTACAGCGCACACACAACAGCATTGGGGACGTTTGTAGCAGCAGCAGCAGCAGTAGCAGACGAGCCAGCGGTGAATAAAGGGATCACAAAATGCATGTCTCCTCTCACACGCCAACAACGCGATCACCTCGATGATCTTCTGCAGTTCCACCGGAACAGCCAAGCCCGACGCAATTATCACGCACCCGACCGATCTCCTACCTCCAGCGGTCCTTTCCTCGTGCTCACGCCAACATGCAAGGACAGGAGGCATGCCACGGGTGCGAGAGGCGAGAAGCGAGAGGCCACGAGGCTCCGTGAAATCAAAAACCACTCCCCCCCTTCGTGCTAGCTACTCCGGGGCCTCGTCGTGCGCTCCGCAGAGCTTTGCTTGTGCATCCATTTGCTTTCTCTCCGATCTTGCAGTGCTGGCATTGACACACGACGCGATCGTTGTCGTGGGCTCTGGATCTCAGGGAAGGGAACCGTGAGATTGGCGGTATGAGTTGCAGCAGCAGCGGTGGCAAGAGAGACGTGGCGTACGCGGCCGCCCTGTTGTTTCTTGCTGCGTCCGCAACAAGCTCGTCGCACCGCAGGAATGTCTCCGTATCGGCGGCAGCAGTAGGATCAGCAGCAGGAGCAGCAGCCACCAGGGACAGCAGCAAGGGGAGGACTCAGTTCGTGAGCGTCTCCGCGCCATGGCCAACATCCTGCCTGTCGCCTCTAGCGGAGGCCTCCGAGTTCGTGGCGGAGGGCGGCGACGGCCTGTTCTGGGACTACGTTGAGGCTCTCGGAGACGCTCCGCATTCGTTGTTCTCCCACCACCAGCCAAGCTGCTGCTACCCTTATCACCACGATAGGGTAGCAGGAGGTGCCGCTGAGGCTGCAACTAGTGCCGAGAAAGAGGGCGGCGAGGGCAATGATAAAGGGGCAACAGTCGCAGAGGCAGGGCAGCTGCAACAGCGGGAGCGGAGCGCGGCTGCCATTGCGGACCGAGAGGGGGGAGCGTTGGTCACGGCTGCGGCGGTGACTGCTGCCGGGCAAGGCTTCCCCGCAGGCGCGGGCACCGGCGGCGCTGGTGGTGCTTCGGGCGTAGGCCTCGACGAGCTGTCGCTGAGATTGCTGACTATTGCCCTGTCCGCGAGGTGTGTCTGTAGATATGCAGCACGCAACCGGCGTTGCCTGCTGTACAGCTATGCTGTGAAATGCAGTTGCGCCGCTTGCACACAACGCACGATGAGCAACGGGACATCTCTCCTGCGGATGCGGACGGGTCCTCTGTACATGTATAAAAGTCTACAGTAGATACAATCACAACTGGGCGAGGGAGCGGTAAACGGGGCGGGATGTAAGAGAGGGAGCCATTCACACTCACATCACAGAGTGGTTACACGCTCTCTTGACACAGCAGCTATTTCACAAAGGCGTGTCATGAACTCGGGCACCCACAGGCAGCCCCAGGCGTGCAACCGTGTACAAACCCTCTGCGCGTCTCCACGTGTCCATTATCGGATATTCGTTGCTCTGTGCAAGAAGAAACAAGGGGAGCTAGAGCAGCGAATACCAACGCAACACCCGTGCACACAGCACACACTAACAAGAGCAGAGCGAACCCCCTTCGTCCCCCCGGTGTTTGCCATCGGGGTTGGGTTTTCGTCGCTTGGCACGACGTTGTAAAACAAGCCGCCCCCCCCCGGTATTTGCCATCGGGGTTGGGTTTCGTCGCTTGGCAGCGATGTGTAAAAAACAAGCCGATCACTTCGTGAGTTAGGCAACCAGGCGACCGGGTTTGTAGTGGCCCTTTCTTTTTTTTTTTGCGGTAACCATGAATGGTGGTCAAGCAGATTATGTTGTGCGGGGTGGAGAACCCTCACTCCGCGCAAAGGGGATAATCGCACCACGTTGTGTTAAAATAATCAAGCACCCTCGAGGCAGTTACACCTTGCATTCAACTGTCTCTGGAAGTGAAAGCACCAGAAAGTAAATTAAGTCATACGCAGCTGTCATCCGTACGCAAGGAAGTAAGCACAAGATGCCGAAAACCCTTAGCAGGATGCAGCGCACCCTTCATGCCACTCGCCGAATAACTCACGACGCTTCGCGCTTGGTGATGTGAGAGCCTGGTCCCGTGAGAACCCGGCGTGCCCCGTCCCGGCTTTGCAGGGATACGAGGTCGATGGTCTAACGACTACGGCATGCACGACTATGAGTACCGCCCCCCCCCCGTCAGCTCCTGTTCTCACGCAAATCCATCCCAACCCCCGGCCCTTGACGTGGCCGCGTTTGCCATATTCACGATCAGGGCCCACGCCCCGGCGATAGAATCCCACCGGACGCTTGCTGAACCCACGCGCTCGGCTTGCTTGGAGGCACGAAAGGGCACAGTATCGACGTCTTCTTCTCCGCGGGCGTGGGTGGTCCTCCTCCCGACAGGCGACGTCGTGTGCTCGCCGGAAGACCTACCATACGCGCTGTCGTCGTTTTCCGCGCCTGGGACTTGCTCCGCATCGACGGAGGCGGCGGGAGTGGACGAGGGGGGCGAATCATGTGTCCGTTCTTCCGCCACCGGTAACGAAGACAACCGAGCTGCTTCGGAGCCCAGGTCTTCCAGTAATGCGTTGGCCTTCGATCACGTGTACGCTGGGAGTGGCCGTCATGGCTCCGATGTTGACGACGACGTCGATGAGGGCCGTGATGGCGAGTCTTCTTCGCCTGCCCCAGAAGCGACCGCGGTACTGTACGGGGTGGTGGGCAGCCCGGACATGATGGCCTTCCACCGGGTGCTGAAGGCCAAAGCGGAGACGGGGGCGGTCACCTACGCTTTCCGGCACGCCTTGCCTTACGGGAGGGGGGACGGTGGCGGCGGCGGCGGCGGCGGCGGCGATGATGATATGGCGACGACAAAGACGACGCCCCTCCAGGGGTACGGCGTGGTGCTGGACGTGAAGAACATGGAGTACCAGAGCTTCGATTCATCGGACTCGGAAGGAGAGGTGTGTGCGTGTGTGTGTTGGCGCGGACGGGGGGGGATGGGGGGCGTGCTCTTATGTTTTCCATGCGTACGGTTAGACCATTGACCACGCGTCCTGGAGAGAACGAGCCATGATTCATTCACACAAGACCGATCACGGATGGCCAATCGTTCCTTCCTACTTTGCCAAACGTGACTCCAGTCTACCTTTCTAAATGTCTTCCCGTCTATCTTTTCTATCGATACCACTTCCTGCCTTCTTAACCCACTTCCTATGCCCCTTTACAGCTACCGTCTTCTCATGGGTATCCCATGCCTCCAACATCTCCCTGTATCTTCCTTCTACTTTTCCCAGCTCCGCCATGTGCACTTCACTCTCCTTCTTGCACAACGGACATTCCGCAAATACATGAACCCGGTCTCCGCACTCGGAGCCGCATTCACATTTGAACTTGTCGTCTTCATGGTCCACCCTCCGAATTCTCCTTCTATGTGCTCGAAGTCCAATGTACCCGGTCCTACATTTGACCTTCAGCTTCGTCCCTGCGTCCATATGTCCATGTAGGTACTCCTTGCACCCTCTTCCTAGTTGGTCCCGTACACATCCAGACTCTCTTTCTCCTTGGTTTCTTTGGTTAGATTCTACTATCTCGGCAACAAGCAACATATATCTTCTCCTTGAACTCCTCTATACCTTCCGTATCCAGCGTATCACCTTCGTCATCTACAACCTTGACCCATTCCGTGGGTTGTCTACCCCTCTTGTTGTTTACCCACTTCGCCTCCCGAGCTATTCTCGATAACTTCTCCTCTCCCATACCGCACATGCGATACTGCCATGTCAGCTTCCTTGCGTCGCTTTCCGATCGTAGGGATCGGATTTCCAGATCTACCCTGACGGCTGCATTACTTGTGCGCTTGGAGCATCCTAGGATGACTTTTGCTGCTTTCATCTGCGCCGTCTCGAGCTCGTTGACTACCTTCTTACTTCCTTCCCCCTTCTTCAGCGTACTCTAACGGCGGTGCGATTGCGCTCTTCAAAACCGTCAATTTGATGGGTGTATCGAGGTGCCGATTTGGATGTATTGGGTGCAGCTTCCCTGCTCGTGCTTTGCCCTTTTCCGCTACCTTGGACGCGTGTGCATCCCACGAGCAGTCTTTTGCGATCTCTACTCTGAGGTATGTGTACTGATCCAGTAGTGCAAGCTGCGTGACCCCCCACTTCCATCTACACTCCACTGGTTTCTCGCTGGCCTATTTGCACACCACGTTGGCAGACAATCTCCACTTGTCACTAAACTCCTTCGCCGCGTCAATTTGCAGTTGCAGTCCCTCAGGGGTGTCAGACATCCCAACAATATCACCCGCAATACAGCATTCCCGACACCGAAGTTGTCCCTACCTTTACCCCCTTCCGGACTGCCTCTACGACGTTCAACAGATCGTTGATGAACACCTGAATCAATGTTGGGGACAGCGTGCAACCTTGTGGGACTCCCTGTTGAATTCGACAGTTCTCCGTCTAGCATGACGGTGTTCTTTTTTAACTCTGTCATTTTCTTCAGCACTCGCCACATCTTCCTCTTTATCCCATACTTGGCCAATTTTTTCCACGGCCCATTTCTCCACACGGTATCGTGTGCCTTTTGCTCGTCCAAGAAGGAGGAGTATGTGGGCCTTCCCGCCCTCTTTCTAACGTGGATGATTGTCCCAATATCGCGAAGGCGTGGTCTCACTTGTCCTCCTTTCCTTCTCCAGTACTCCCAACTATCCTATCGTTCAGCAGCTTGCGGAACACTTCTACTGTGTCCAACAGTGTGATCCCCCCGCAGTTTACTGCGTCAGTGTTGTCCCCCTTCTTATTTATCAAGTTCACAAACCCTCCATCTACCTGGCGCATAGTCGTTTATCCACACCCAGTTACTCATGTAAATGCATGCCGTAGTCGTTACACCATTGGCCTCGCATCCTTGCAATGCCGGGACGGAGCGATAAGCCGGGTTGTCGCCGCCCCAGGCTACCTTTCACAAGGATGACCCAGAAAAGAGGGGTGGGGCGAGGAAAGCGGGGTGGGCGAGGAGGGAAAAGCAGAGCTTTCTGAAGGCTCCGCTGCTCCATCCCCGCACTAAAAACAAGTAATCAGGCAAAGTTCACCGGAAAACCGTTCTTGGCGCTACTCCATACACCACGTCCGACACGCGCACATGACTTCTATCACACGCCCCCCTTCGAATTTGTCCACCCCGTCCGCACCACACGCATACATGTATGGTGGCAATCTGCACTCTCCTGGGGCGGGCTGTCCCTTGTTATGCCACGCACACATACGACTTCTGCATGCTCCCCGTTGTTTCCCTTTAGAAGGGACTCCCCTAGCCCCCCACCCCCGTCCCAAACTCACGGCAAGTGTTTCCCCCTCGCTCTCTGTCGCTCGCCCACCGCCCCGGGGGGGGGGGGGGGGGAAAAA